GAATAGAAATTCATATTTAGCATACTTGTACAATAAGTATTTTAGCAAAATTTAAAAAATGCTTGTGGGCATTTTTTGTGCAAATAGTTTCTAACTTTAAATGTGTATTCTGGTTGAAAGTGAAGTCTAGAGATGTATATAGGGAGCACAACCCACCAGTTCAGTACTATTTATCATCAAGTCATTGCTGTATAGCACCAGCCCAACTCACTCCCTTAATGGGTTTTCTAGTGATCTCAGAACATTCCTGCTTTTGATGCTGAAGCGTGCTCTTTGCTGCCTCTCACACACAATAAAAATGCCAGCGCTACATGCCCAACCTGAAGGACCATGGATGAGGCTCCAGGGAATCACCTTGCTGACCGTTACCCCCTCCAGTTAACCTTCTCTTCACCCGGAGCATGCACTTTTGGGACACTAGACAGGCCATAGACAGGTCGAAAACCGGCCGTTTTTAAAAAAAAAAAAGAAAAGAAAAAAATCGGTTGTTCAATAGGCCGATGTTACCACCAACGGTAAAAAAAAAAAAAAAAAATCGGCCAATTTTGTCCCGTCTACGCCGGCATTTAATTACTTCTGTCCCTGCAGAGAGCTCCGCTATTATATTTAACATGAAAAAGTCTTGCGGTTGCAAGAATGTATCTATTTGTATCCATTTTGGATACAGATGTTTTTATTTGGATACAAATAGATACATTGTTGAAACCGTAGGACGTTTTCATGTCAAATATAATAGCAGACTGGAATTCTTCTTTTTCTTCTTCTTCTTTTTCTTCTTCTTGCAGGTCATGGCTCATGCGCAGATTTTTTAATCGGTAAAACAATCGGCCGATTTGCCCATCTTTGCCAGGAAAATCGGCTGATCAGCAAAATCGGACGATTTTTTTCCAACTTCACCGATAAAAAAAAAATGTGCCAAAACCCCGAAAAACGGCCGACCAATTAACCCATTAACGGTGCGAAAATCAGACGATTTTTTTTTTTCGGCTGAAAAATCGGCCGATTTTCAACCCGTCTATGGCCTGCATAACACCTCTCTTTCACCTTCTGTTATCTTTCCCCCTTCTTCTCTTCTTGACCTTGTGGAGGTGCATTAGATTCTACAGATTCTGAAGGGAAACTTACCAACTTTAAGGAGATTTAGCCCTCATGCACAATTTTTATAGCGGCTGTTTTTGGCTTTTGACGTTTTTTTATACAGCTAGTAAACTCCCCAGCATGTTATCCTATGTGTCCATGCACACATAGACTGTAATCAACGTTTTTTGGCAGGGGCTTTTTTTGGCTGGATACAAAACCCAGGACTAGTAGGTTTCTAGACGAGTGTTTTAGCTGTAAAAACACTCTAAGGTTGAAAAATGTGGCAAAATGTGGTAAAACGCAGTAACATGCCGCAGACTGGCCTTTTTGGACTTTGACCCAAAAAATATTTGTTTTTGGTTAAAAAAAAAAAACAAAAAAGGCAAAAACGTGGGAAAATGCCGCTAATAGTGGCAAAATTCCACTAAACGCTAATGCAAAAACACAAAAAAAAGCTGAAAAACTCACGTTTTAATGTGACTTTACACAGCTAACATTACCAGCGTTATCAAAACATCCAGTGTGCACGAGTGCTTATAGTAACAGCGTGTACTTTTTATAATAGCTTAGTAAAAGCAATACAAACAAACCTAATATAAGCTTACTTGAAAAAATATCCTTTTGTGTTGTGTGTCTGCTGGCCATCTCTGTCCAAGACCTCCTGGATTCCTTGCATGCTTTGCAGCTTTTCCACTGCTCATTCCTTTTGGTTTACTTGCTGTTTCTAAGGACTACATATCCCATGGTACAAGCAGATATGATGGGGAGCGTTTCCTTTTCTGACTGTGCCTCCTGTAGTTCAGAAGGCAGGCTCTGTGAAATGCTTGACACAGCAGGGCCTACTCTAGCACATAGTAAATATGTGTCATAGAATTCAAGGAAGTAAATGTGTAAGAATCTTCAAAAATACGAACAATTCTTATCTGTACTTAGCATAATTTTCCTTTCCAGGAGGCTCATTATGTCAGTCTTCTCATGGAATCCTAGGCTGACATGATTATCCCCAGGAATACAGAAAATTGTTAGCTATACTTACCGTAATTTTCCTTTCCTGGAGGCTCATCTTATCAGCACAGGATTCCACGAGTAGGCTGACATAATTAGCCCCCGGAAAATAAGCTAACAAACTTCAAGATCATTCAGATTGGTAGAAATAGGCAGAAACAATTGAAATAAAATGTGGAAATGAATATATGAATTTCAATTTTGCCCATACCTTCACTTCAACTTGTACAAATCTTGTCGTGCATGTACGCTGCTCATTTTTCTCTATGAACATCATTCATGAATAAAACTCGTACTTCTTATAAATACCCGGGTGGGAAATGCATCTTCTCTAATGCATCTGTTATTACATTTTTACGTGGCTTTTCACAATGTTTAGATGGTGTATTTATTGGCTTCTAATGAGGTCTAAAATGTCTTTGTATTTATCTGATAAAATTAAAAATCAATAAAAATTTATTGAACAAGATAAGTGCCAGTGCTAAGATGTGTTTCCTCCAATTAAATTTAAACCTGTACTGGAATTTTAAATGTGATTGGTAATACAGAAAGCAGAGAAAGATACACAGGACAGCTTCCAGGAAATGCACACTTGTTGCCCTCTTACTGATCCCCTGAGGATGTCTGTGAAAATCTTGCTGCAGATTACACAAAATGCATACTGAGGTACAATAAAGAGGAACTTCCCACTGCTGTTTTTCGCCCCTTCTTCTGAAAACATGCTTACCTGTCCTTTGAATCCAGTGTTGTCCTGTTGCAATCTGCTGCTAGCTACCACAGGCTGGGTCCAGCCACCCTATTTTCCCTTCTTACATCATCAGGCACCAGCTGTCTCTTCCAGGTTCTTGTAGATGACCCAAAATATGTATTGCCAGGTCAACCCACAGCCACTATGATTCCCTGGTCATGCAGCCTCCTGGGATTTTTGAAGAGTCTGGAGATAGGGTGGCAGGCCAGAGTCTAAAAAAAAAAAAAAAGGAAGCAAAAAATAATCCAGATTTAATACAGGGGGGCTTGCAGGGAAGAAAATTCACTTTTGGGAGGTCTGCTTTAAGTGAAGTTTACTGGTTCATGCACAGTTGCATTGCTTACATTAGTGTTTCTCAACCTTTTTTCAGTCAAGGCACCCTTTAAAATTATGGACAGTCCCGAGGCACCCTTTAAAATTATGGACAGTCTTAAGACACCCCATTCTAAAATGGGGTGCCTCTAGACTGTCCATAATTTTAAAAGAGAACCCCATTCTAAAATGTGAAAAACTATTCTAATAGTTGTATATAATACAGTAACATCCACACATGTAGGATATCCAACATTCCTGGGCACAGTACTTTGAAGGAACGGTACAGGGATGCTGTCCTTCAGAGCGCATGCACTGGCTCTGAAAAAGAGTGAATATCTCCTAAATGGTGCACGTTTAGGAGATATTAGTACGCTTTATTATATACCGGTAGGTAAACATTTAAAAAAAAGAGTTTACTATCACTTTAAGCGTACATCCTTTTGAAGTTGTTCCGTGCATCTGTGTGCAGGCAGTCCCATTTATGTCTTTTGGGACACAGTGGTTGCACGGACACAGCCGCTGGTCCCTGTATGACAGCCGTGCAGACGCTGGTTCCCAAACGTAGACAGTGTTGCACTATCAGTTTGAGATACTTCTGACCTCATTTGGAGTTCATTGTAGGTGCAGCTGACTTTGTTTTGGCCGGCATATGACTTGCTTCAGCTGATTTTACCTTTGCATAAACTTCTTTAGAGGATAAGTTCACCTTTGGAAACATGGTACATGCTCCACCCCGGACACCCGTTCCACCCCTCCCTGTGATGGGGAGAAGTTCCTTGTACTAGTTGTCAGTTTTCAAAAACACCATGGCCATGTGGGGCTTTACAATGTTCTGTGAATGAATGAATGAACTACAAGTCACAACGGCCTTAGCGACTGTCAGCTTGTAGTTCTCAATTAACTACCATGGTGCTGTGAGCGTTGTGGTAGTTCATTGAGTCTTCTTGTCAGCAAGTATCGGCTTGCCCATATGGGGTGTAAGAGCAAGCAGATGTACTGACAGTCTGCAGGAGATCTGACTGGCATATGCATTTTTTTTTTTTTTTTTTGTGGAAAGGTGAGCTTATCCTTTAACCACTTGCTCTCCAAAGGATTTACCCCCCCCCCCTTCCTGACCAGGCCATTTTTTGCAATATGGTGCTGCGTTACTTTAACCCCTTCACGCCGGCGCCTCCCAGCCCTTTAAGGGGATTCTGATGCCGGGAGGCGGGGCAGGGTTTAGGGTCATGTTAACACCATGATTGGCTGTCACGGCAGTCACATGATCGGAAAGGTCCCAATCGCAAGGAGAGATCGGAACCTTTCCATGGGATGCCAACACGTGTGCTTGGAGCGTGCAGGGCGTGCGCTCTCAGCATGTTTGTTTACAAATGATATACAAATGTGGCCGCTCGGCGTCAAGGCCCAGCTGCCGAGAGACCGCATATTTGCGTATGGTCAACATGAAGAGGTTAACTGACAACATGCAACGCTGCACCCAAATTAAATGTATGTCCTTTTTTTTCCCCAGAAATGGAGCTTTGTTTCGGTGGTGTTTGATCGCTTCTGCAATTTTTATTTTTTGCGCTAAAAACAAAAAAAGACCAACAATTTTGAAAAAAGACACCCCAATATTTTTTACTTTTTACTATAAATATCCAGTAAAAAATTTTAAAAATCAAATTTCATCATAACTTTAGGCCGAAATGTATTCTGTTACATGTCTTTTCTAAAAAAAAATCCCCAATACATGTAAATTATTTCGTTTACATGAATAATGGTGGTATATATACTGGAATTTTTTTTACTAGTAATGGCGGCGAACAGCGACTTATAGCGGGACTGTGGCAGGCATTCTGACACTGGGGGGTAACTAACTGCCACTGACATCCCCAGTGACACTAATACAGTGATCTGTGCTAATAAAAAGCACTGACACTGTACTAATGACACTGGGCAGAAAGGGGTTAACATCTGGGGCGATCAAAGGATTAACTGTGTGTGTTTTACTAACTATGCTTTACTTTGTAAGCATTCTGCTTTGTATTGCTCTGCACTACAGAGCAATGCAAAGCAGCAGGCTGGTGCTGACAGGGAAGAGTTCTGTATTGTTTACAAACAGACCTCTCCCCTGTCAGTGTTCCTTGGTGATCGCTGGGTGCCAGCGGGGAATCTCCAGCCGAACCCAGTGATCGACAGCTGTAGGCGGCGCAGGTAGGACTGCTAAACAGAAACACGTATATATATGTGATTTTACGCAGCCCTGCCGCCCTGTAGCAGTAGTTCTACTATAGAGCGGAGGGGAAACGGTTAAGCACACGGTTAGTGAATTAGTGTCCCCATTGGAAGATTTCCCTTCTATTACTTTTCTGGGGACAACCCAAAATTTGGGAATTTTTTTAACTTTCGATGATAATGGTAAACAAGACAATTATAGAAGGTAAATATTCCTAATGGAGACACAGACAGCAATAAAAACTGATAGGGATTCTAATCCCTCTCCACTCTATCATAAACTGAAAAAAATGTTTTGGCTTTAGTTATACTATAAAACTGCTCCCGCACAATACTTTCATAATATTGTAATATAGGGTTTTTTTCTATTAATTTTCTTCTCCCATTATATTTTGTGTCCCCCTGTGCCACTGGGGTCTATGGAGTCCCATAGGAACTGCTTGGAGCTACAACTGTATGTGCAGCCATTCTGAGCGCAGCACACACAGCCAGCAAGAGGGAGACATAGAACAAAAGACATGCCTCTGCTCCTTCACAGTGGTGTTTGACAGCAGCTCTTTGTCCCTCTTGTGGTGGCTCTGTATTCACAACTCTGAACGGCTGCACATACAATTATAGTTTCAGTTGGAACGTGCACATAGGGGAGCTTCCTACGGGACTCCTTAGGTCCCAGTGGCACAGGGGGCACAAATATAATTGGAGTGTGGCAGCACAGCTGGGGGATAGTTTCAAAAAGAAGCTCAGAGCAAAAAAACTGCAAATGCACATTATGTTATCTGTACTTAATTTATAAGAACACTTTAACTTCACCTTAACTGCTTTCCCGCCGCCCTATAGCAGATATACTGTTACAGGGTGGCAGGGGTGTGCTAAATCACGTATATATGCGGGATTTTGCATTTCTGGGTAGGGGGCACGTGCGAGTTGCGTATGCGCCCTACCCGCGGCCTCGGCTGTCAATCGCCAGGTCCTGGCTGGCGATTACTCGCTGGCACCTGTTGAGCATTACCGATGGAGGGAGAGAACTGAAAGTAAACAATACAGTCCTCTCCTCTGTCCCCACGTGTTTTTTCACAGAACACCAAAAAAAACAAAACAAAACGCACAGGCGATCAAATACCACAGAAAGAAAGCTCTATTCATGGGGAAAAAAGACGTAAATTTCATTTGGGTGCAGCATTGCATGACTGTGCAATTGTCAGCTAAAGTACTGCAGCGCCGTAACACAAAAAATGGCCCAGTCAGGAAGGGGAGTAAATCCTCTGGAGGGCAAGTGGTTAAGGTTACTACCACAATGTACCAGGACTAATAAATTATTTAAAATTTGAGTTTAAGACCGTTAAAGTAGTTTTAAGGGCCTGGTTGTTTTTTTTTTTACCTGCATTCCTGTACAAAATGGCCCACTAATTATTCCCCCCTCCTGCTCACCTTCTATGAACACTTGCCTAAGCCTGTCAGCATTCCAACACTATCCTGGCTTCAAGTCTTCTCTCTCCTCTCTTCCTCTTCTCACAGGGACTCGGGCAGCAGGGGAAGCCATTGGCTCCTGCTGCTGTCGATCAAATGCTGTGAGCGCAGTGTGGGGCTCAGCCACGCTGTGTGTGACAATGGATACACGTAGCCTGGCTCAGGAGCGAGCCCACAGGTGTGCCTCCATGGGAAGCAGCTTGCTATGGTGGTACACAGAGAAGAGGAGGAGCCTGGAGCGCCAGCGGGGGACCCCAGAAGTGTAGGTTCAGGGTTGCTATTTGCAAAACCATCACACAGTACAGGTAAGAATAAACCTGTTTGTTGAAAACCCTCCACAATAGCCTTTACAATCACTTTTAATTTTTTCAGACCTTTTTGTAGTCCAGTAAGAAAAAAAAGAGGCATCTTATTGGAAGAAAATGTGTTAATAAATAGAATACATGTTATATACAGTAGCTAATGTTTATGTTTAGCAAAATGAAATCTTAAAAGACAGCTTATGTGTGATTTGATTTATCATAACCATGATGCTGCTCTATTCAGCTAGTTATAGGCTTTGCTGTGTGTGTGGCTTTGCTGCCCTCTTCTGGTATTCAGTGATAACTGTAGAACATGAAAAACATTCTCAAAGTCCTGTATTGCTGCCACAGGTTAAACATTCCTTACACTCTTTATAAATGCAGTTTAGAGTATGGAGTATCATGCCTACCATTTTACTATCACTGACTTTATATTATTATACAGTGGATGCATTTTATTATGTCATATTGCAAACAGAGCATACAGTGAATGAAATATGTATTTGATCCCCTGCTGATTTTGAATGTTTGCCCACTCACAAAGAAATGATCAGTCTCCTCCTGAGATGTGTGCAAACCTGGTGGCCAACTCCAGGAAACATCTGACCTCTGTGATTGCCAACAAGGGATTTGCCACCAAGTACTAAGTCATGTTTTGTGAAGGGGATCAAATACTTATTTCCCTCATGAACATGCAAATCAGTGCATAATTTGTTAGACATGCATTTCTTTTGATTTTTTTGTTGCTATTCTGTCTCTCAATGTTGCAACACACATACCTTTCGATTTTTAGACTGATCATTTCTTTGTGAGTGGGCAAACATTCAAAATCAGCAGGGGATCAAATACTTATTTCCTTCACTGTAGAATGATATCATAAACTAGTCCCATTCATTTTAAATCAAATCTTACTTTTTTCACAATGTTCTCTCTGTAATTTTGATGGAATTTTCATGATTAATAATTTGCATTTATAATTTTCATTACTACAGTAACATTGTTTTATAACCCTTAAATGCATTTGTGCTTTTCTGTCCAAATTGTTCACATTTTGCCAGTCCTTATTGTAGGTTTAGCAGCACTAACTTTTATAATAGCTTTTGGAACTCGTGCTAGCCTAGTGTAATGCTGGGTATAGACAGATAGCTTACAGATTCCTTTATCCACACAAGCAAGGTGAATAGAGGAATTCCCTCACCAAGACATTGTATTCTGACAGCTGGACTCTCCACTGTCAGAATACACTGATCAGCGGCTGCAGCCAAACAAATGAAAGTTTTCTGCTCAACAGAAGAACTTGATTAAACAATTGACTTCTGTTGAACAGGGCAAGCCAAACAGAGATTGAAATTTAGCTGAATTTTTGGACCTGTGTGGTCATGAAAACCTCTGAATAGCAGTGAATGCAGGGAAATAAAAAGAAGCCTAATATTAAAGTGTTATTAAACCTTCCATTTAAAAAATGACATATGGAAGCAAACATCTGCACTTATACTCTGTTTAATGATTGCCCTGTGTTTTCTTCTGTCATCTCTGTGCAATTTGCATTGAAAAATTCACTAGTTTTGACTTCAGTTTTTGGGGTGGTTCTGTTCCCTTGAAGTCTTGATTTGTCTCAGAGACAATTTATAATATTAACTCCTGTGATATGTTTACTATATAATTAAAGACTGAACTAAAAGTAACCCTGAATACTGTTTGATTTGATTTTTGGACTTTCATGGCTACACAGTGAGGATAGAAATGTTAAAGAACCAACATGCCTGCTAATCATTTCCATGGATGCCGTTCATCTTACAATGGCATTTATGTTTCTCGACTGGACTATTGTAGACTGAAAGAATGTCCTGTGCAATGTGCTGTATATTTGTAGTTTTTGTATGACCACATACTGGATGATATACGCACATGATCTACATGGGGATGATCTAGACAACGTTGTCATTTCAGTTTTTCCTTCAGATATGAAGTCTTCACAATTAACCAAATCATTTAAATAAATTACATTTATTGCAAAATGCTACATGCATTTATTTTACATAGTTACATAGTTAGTCTGGCTGAAAAAAAGACAAAAATCCATCCAGTTCAACCATTAAAAAAAAAAAAAAAAGTTATAATTCTACACTCACAGTTGATCCAGAGGAAAACCCAGCAAAGCACGATCAAATTTGCTCCTGCTGGGAAAAAAATTCCTTTCTGATCCCCCGAGAGGCATTCGGATATTCCCTGGATCAACTTTACTTATAAATGTTAGTAACCAGTTATATTCTGTGTATCAAGGAAAGAATCCAGGCCTTTTTTAAAGCATTCCACTGAGCTGGCCAGAACCAACTCTTGAGGGAGTCTATTCCACATTTTCACAGCTCTCACTGTGAAGAAACCTTTCCGTGTTTGGAAATTAAATGTCTTTTCCTCCAGATGTAAAGAGTGCCCCCTTGTCCTCTGTGATGACTGCAGGGTGAATAGCTCTACACCGAGTTCACTATATGAACCACTGATGTATTTATACATGTTGATTATATCCCCCCTAATCTCCTCTTCTCAAGAGAGAATACATTCAGTTCCTCTAATCTTTCCTCATAGCTGATCTCCATGTATGATGCATGCATATTCTTAGCCCCCAAGTGCAGAACCTTACATTTATCAACATTAAACCTCATTTGCCACATAGATGCCAAATTAAACAGTGCATTGAGGTCGGCTTGTAAGTTGGAGAAATCCTGTAAGGATGTTATTCCACTGCACAATTGGTATTATCTGCAAAGACTGAAACAGTATTTTTAATCCCAAACCCTATATTGTTTATAAATATATTACAAAGTAAGGGTCCCAACACTGAACCTTGTGGTACACCACTGACAACCCTAGACCATTCAGAGTATGAATCATTAACCACTACTCTCTGAATACGATCTTTTAGCCAGTTTTCAATCTATTTACATACGGATTTTTCCAAGCCTGTAGACTTTACCTTACACATGAGCCGTGTGGGGAACTGTGTCAAATGCTTTTGCAAAACCCAAGTATACCTTGTCCGCTGCCACCCCTCTGTCCAAGGTTTTCCTCACCTCCTAATAAAAAGAAATCAGATTTGTTTGACAACTTCTGTCTTTCATGAATCCATTCTGTCTGTTGCTTAAAATTTTTTCCAGCAAGAACTGATCTATGCGGTCTCTTATTAAACTCTCCAATATCTTCCCAACTATAGAAGTTAAGCTAACAGGTCT